TTTAGTGGGGCCTTGGTGATGGCTGAATCTGCCCTTTGGGTGTGTCATTTGTGGAGCTGGTTGGTGGTGCTCTGGTGTTGTCTGAAGCCTGTCACCAGGTATGTTGTTTCTGGAGCCTCTTGAGAAGTGGTGCAGGCCAATGTCAGCTGCCACTTGTGTCTAGATTGGGGCCATAGTCGAGCTACAAAGTGACTTATGTTGGTTGCTGCTTGTGTTGGACTTGTGAGAAGCTATGGTGTTTACTGAGGCCAGCTGCCACTAGTCACAGAATTGGGACATTTTGGGGGCACCACATGTAAGATGAGGCTAGTCAGCACTTATGCTGGGCTCTGGCTACTTAGTTGAAGCTATGTTCCAATTCAACACTGGCCATACCTTATGACAGTTTTGGGCTACCTGATGGTCACTATGATGCAAGTGGTGACGAATTACCACCTGTACCAGCCTTCTGGCTATTTAGCAAGAGGTACCGTATATGCCAAGGCCAGCTACTGCTTGTTTTGAGTTGTGGACTTTTGGAAGATTTTAGAACAGTCTGCAGCATTAGGTGAAGCAGGCCCCTTGTGTGTAAAAGCTGCCGTGAAGAGGTTTGGTGTGATGTGTGAGTTACATGAATTGGGGTCAGAGAATCAAAAGGGTAGGGTGAATGGTGTTAAGTGAGGTTAATGTTCTAAATGAGGTTAATGAAGAGCACAGATTTTGCATCCATCTGCACCTGCTGGTTGGGTGGGGAGTGCTAAATAAAGGAACAATGATGCCTGCCAGCACTTCTGACCGAAAGAGAACTGCTCTGACCTATGCCCCTTCAGCCCTCACCCTGAAGGTAGTTAATTTAATCCTTCCCTATATGTCCCTAGTGCTTTTTGAGCTGCTGTCCCTGAACTGGAGCCCAGAACAAGTGTTTGTGAGCAAGAGAGTCCACATGCAGGCCACTCGAGAAGGTGGCCTGGGACTCAAGGAGCCCCATTTCATTCAAATGTAATCCCTGCTCATGTCCATAACCAGATGTTACGGGGATGCCTCTTTCTTACACTGGTGTCCTGGGCTGGGATCCCTCACTTCTCTGTGGGGACCTCCACAAATGGGACAGCCCTCCAGAATTTTTTACCAGTACACTGTGGGTATGGGATCTGCTCAGTCTGCATACCCACCCCTCCTATCTGTCATTGTGGCTTCTTTATGTCCTTAGTCATGGGAATTCTGTTCAGCTAGTTTTCAGGTTGTTCTGTAATTTAGTTGTAATTTTCATGTCGTTGTGGGAGAAGGCAAGCACAGAGTTTACCGACCCTGCCATCTTGCCTGGAAGCCCCTGTGTGATTCATTATTGATCTCAAAAAGTAATATATATAGTCTTTCTTGCTAATTAAGTGCATACGTACATATATATGTGAATATGCACTTTCCTGTTAAATCAGTTTAGAAAAAACATAGGTATAGGTATAGTATGCTAAGCAAGCCAAATAATCCTGCAAAATATTGAGTCATATCAAGAAATAGAAAGAATTGGATAGTCTCTTAGACAAAGTAGAAAATTGGTTCAACAGGTAATCAGCTCTAACACTCACATACGATAACCAAGTAGAAAAAGGATTCAAAAGTGTATTGCAAAATGAAGTAGCTAAATATTCTATAGAGGAAAATAACAAAAATTGCATTCTTCAGGAAAGAGCTAGATTCCGTTATTAATTATACTAATGAGGCATACAAAAGCTTTAAATAATGCTAGTTAAGAAGATCACCAAAATGAGAGGGCAACTGGCCTGATGGTTTTAGGAAAGTTCAGGTGTCAAAAATTTTAAATCTATACAAAAGGAAGGTCTAAAAATGTCCCATGTGATATTTTGTTATAATTGGAGACCAAAGAAGGTTATTTGGTCCATGCAACTAGGTTTTATAAATAACCTAAGGATCAGCCAGTTGATAATCCATACATAGCAACTTAATTTGTCTAAGGCATTATTTTTATTTTGGGTCCAATAAGATTACTAAAACCCGAGATAGGTATACAAATGATGCATGGTAGAACCACCTAAATCAAGGAACGTGTGAAAAAATGGAACCCTGGGAAAAGGAATGTTGGCTACTTAAAGAATGTCAGTTGGTTCCTTAAATTAGTAAGTTGAACATTAATTAAATACAAATAATAGTGTTTTTCTCCAAGCACACAAGGCCTTTGGACATAAGAGAATCTATCAACATGATGCTATTTTAATACTCTGAGTTTCTGAGAAATAGTCATGCAGATGATTTTGGTGTTGACCAGCAATCTTTCATTTTATTAACTTTAATATATTTATCAAATGTTTTCATACTTGTTTCACTCTTGTTTACAACGAGAGTGTTGTTTCTATCGACTGGATTAGGAGTAAGGTAACCCATGTTTGAGTGACGTATCAGTCTGAGAAACCCTTAATAATAAATCATTTATTATTATGCTTAGGCTTAAGGATCTCTTTTCATAAAAGAATGGCAATAACCTGGTTAGATGGACCAAATGAACTCATATATGTGAAACGGTAATGTTTTGCCCTCCTAGAGAGAAATGTTGTAACAAAAAGTTTTTGAATGAGTGCTACTCCTCTGGCTCCCCTATTCCAAGCACCAGTATTTTGATGTAATTAATATATATTTGGGGTTCACTCCTTAACTTGGACATTTTGAAGAGAACAAAGGAAGATGAACATTTTGAATTCATCCTCAACATGAGGATGAATTCACACTAGAATAACATGGTTCAATGTACAATTAACATAAGCATAATCACTTATGACCCTAAGGAATATATAATAGGCTTCTAATTTACAGTTCCTATTTACAAAGAATTGGTAAAAACCCTTGGTCAACTGTGGTCTGATTTAGTCCAGACACTTCTTTTCTGGGATTGTCCAAATTCTGCTGACCCTCTTCTAAAAATCCCATATTGTTGTGTTTTTCACCTACCCCGAGATAAACTGTCTCACATTGGAGCCCATAGTGCTCTTTTTGGAATATTCAGGTTTTTTATTCTGGTTGTGAAACTAAACTTTGATCAAAGTCTTTACCAATTGCAATTAATCATCACTTTTTTAATACATACCTTTGCTATCAGACTTCACCTTGGCTCACTCCCTCTCTTCCTGAAGTATAGCGCCCTATACGCTGCTTTCTTATGGCAAATGGACGTTAAATGTAGTTACTTTTGGTGAAAAGATACTTTCAGAATTGATCCACCCTGAAAATGGATCTCCACTACAGTGATACTTGAACACAAAAATACTATTAAACATCCTTCATGACTATTCTAACTTGGGGTTTTATTAAATATTTCCCATCCACCAGTGTGTGGGACATATGAGTACAAGTACTTTGAGAAGTTTAAATTCTGTGATGGAATGAGTTCACTTTATTAATTTCTTGGATTTTAGTATTTTAATTTTTGAAAGTCTTTAAATCATTTCAGCTTTGGCTTAGGAACTATAAAATCTAGCCATTCACAGGGAAGAGCATCAGGGAAACCTTGAATTGCGAGATATAGTAGAAGAAAGGTGGGAAAACAAGGAAACTTCGTTCCTACCTTAGCCTCATAGTCTCTTTAGCCATGCTTGAGAAGTATGAGGGAAAAATGCAAAGCCAAGAAACTCAAGCAGCCTCACAGTTACAGCTGTTTATGGCTTATGACAGTTTATAATGCTTTGTAACATCAAAATGTGATTTTTGTCAAACAAGGCAGTAATCATAAAAATCAAATTAAGTCACCTAAATTCTTTTTGGGAAAAGGTGTTACATAAATATATCTCAAAAAATAAAATGAATTATTAAGCCAATTAGTAGTATTTCCTCAGTTGCTTATATAAGACACTAAGACACTGTTCTGGTCCTTAGCCTCAACTTTGTACCAGAGCTCACTCTGGTACAGTCTGCTACTTCTTTTCTTCCACAGTGGTGCTGGGAGGCATAGGGAATCTTAGCCCCTGGACATTATTAAAAAGAAAAAAACATTTCTCTCTATTCAAATCTTTAAGTATAGCAAAAATAACAATTTTAATTTAATAGTTTATGTTTGTTATAGGTAAATTTAAAACCAGAACATGATAGAAAGGCAGACTTCTCTGAATCACTTTTCAAATTTCATCAACATAATCTTCAGTCTCCTCCAAGATTTTTAAAAGTGGTCCTAGGATTTGTTTGATGAGAATAATGAAAGTATTGCTAAAAAATAAAATAACAGATTATTATCATATTGTTTCTCAGTGGAACAGATTTAGGTGATACAACAATGAATTTTTTAAAATTCAAAGTTATATATTTACTTTGATGGAAATTAGACAAAATATAATTAGCATGTAACACTCAGTTTTCATAAATAAAATTTCCTAGAAAAGGGCTAAAAATTGAGTCCCTTTATTAAATAAACACTAAATATGGTAAAAACTACAAAGGACGCATACAAATGATGGAAGTTTGGAAACCATTGCTCTTTTCGGTTTATTTCAAGTTACGAGACTAGTTACACTACATTATTATCTTGATTAAACAATGTTTATATAATTAAAAAACTTTATACCATAAAACTTACAGGTGAATAATCACAGGTTATTTCCTACAAAATTTCTGGTCATTAAAAACGTTTTTTCCTGGCTGAGTAGCTCAATTGGTTAGAGCATTGACTTGATATACCAAGGTTGCAGGTTCAATCCCAAGTCAGGGCACATACAAGAATCAACCAATGAATGCATAATGGGTGGAACAACAAACTTGATGTTTCCCTCTCTTTCTCCCTTCCTCTCTCTAAAATAATCAATACATAAAAAAGTTTTATATCAGATTTGGAACATGACTCCTAATGTAATCTTGTTTATAAAATAAATTATTTTCACTATATCCTCCCCTCGGAATATAATATGTTACTAGTTTAAGGTCTAAATTTATTTGATTTCTATACATTGAATGTTTATAAACTTCCACTATGAATAATTTGATATTGAATTGGATGTAAAGATCTGACAAAAAATTTCCTACATTTATATATTCATATGATTTCCCCCTCCATGAGATATGTGCTGCTGACTAAGTGAAGTAGTTTGGCTTAAAACTTTCTCACATTTATTATAGTCAAATAATTTCTCCCGAGTATGGATTTTCCTATGTTGATTAAGGTGTGCGCTCTGGCTAAAGGCTTTTTCACATTCATTACATTTATAGGGCTTCTCTCCTGTATGAGTCCTCTCATGCTGATTAAGATGTGTCCTCTGGCTAAAGGCTTTTTCACAAAAACTACATTCATAAGGTTTCTCTCCAGTATGAAGTCTATGATGTTCAGTAAGGGACGTGATACGGCTAAAGGCTTTGCCACATTGATTACATTTGTAGGGCTTCTCTCCGGTATGAATCCTCAGATGTTGACTAAAGGATGAATGTTGACGAAAGGCTTTCCCACATTCATTGCATATGAAAGGTTTCTCTCCTGTATGAATTCGCTGATGTTGAATAAGATGTATCCTCTGGCTGAATCTTTTCCCACATTCATCACATTTATAGGGCTTTTCTCCTGTAAGGACTATCTGAGGTTGGGTAAATGATGAGTTGTGGCTGAAGGCCTTCCTACATTCACTGGGTCTCTCTTCAGTATGAATATGATTAGTATGAAGAATATGTTGATTGAAGATTTTCCCACACTCATTATATTCATAAGTATTCTCTTTTACATAGTTTCCCTGATAGTAAATCAATTCTGAATTATGTTTGATGTTATTTCCTTGTGTGTCTGAAATAAGGGGTATTTTAATTGAAGAAATTTTCTGATGCATAATAAGATTTGAGTGCATTTTATAGTTTTCCCCAAATCTATTACATTCAAAACTTCTCTCCTTTGTGATCTTTTTTTGGGTGAAAGATACTTGTCCTAAATGTCTCTGCTGGTTTTCTTGGTTAAACTCTAACTGGTAATCAAAATCCCAGAGTCCTCCTAAAATGGAGTACCAGAAATTGTCTCCTGTTAGTCTCTCCATTATCATGTCATGGGTTTGATTTTCATCAGAAATATTCTGGTTTGGAGTTAATATTTTGACTTCAGGTATACTTTCCCCATCTAAAAGAAATTCAGAACAAATTAAGAAGTACATATTGGTCGTTACAAAATAGTCATGGGGATGTAAAGTACAGCATAGAGAATATAGTCAATAATATTGTAGTAACTATGTATGGTGCCAGGTACTAGACTTATTAAAAAAAAACAGTAAATGGGGGTTTACAGCATAATGTTTACTTCTAATGACAAAAAACAAAAGGAATTCAGAACATACAAATACTTTGCAGCATCTTCTATGTTTTGGAAAAAAAATGTTGCATAATGAATTACCAAATGAAACTTATAAGAATGCAAACAAGGCATTTGTGGCGTTGAAAAGTTTTAAAATGTGGCCACATGACAAGTGGAAAGGCTATAAAAAGATAACAAGAAGCAGTGAGCTGGGCGGGGGGGGGAATTTTAAAGTATGTGTGATAACCATGAAAAGAAGAGATCATCCAGGAGTATCAATAGTTGAAAGGAAATGGAAAGGAGAATAAGAAATATCAGAGAAAGGTCTGTGTTCAGAGGTGGGGGATATTAGAGGAATGATTGTATTTAGAGAAGACAAGTTTCATCTGTGGATTATTCTTTTGAAAGGACACCTATTTATTTATTTAAAAATATTTCTTCCTATTTTTAATCTTTTGTTTAAAATGATAAAACTAACACTTGCATATAGTAATATATTCAAATAATGTGGAAATACATAAAGAATTCTATACTTTAGAGATAATTATTGTTAGTAGTTTGGACCTATCTTGCCAGACTTTTCCTATGTTCACACAAATATAAATGTAAACCATATTTTGAACAAGCATGACTCATGGATGTGGTAAAAACAAAATTTCATTTCAATCTCCTACCACTTTAAAATTTATTTAGTGGAGGAATTATTCCTCTGCTTCTAGATGAAGATTTGGGCAGGTCCCAGGACTCTTCCCCTAATTCTCATGTAATAAATTGATACTCCTGTTACATTGTCACAAACACATTCTCTTCTAACTAATTAAAATGTTCAGGTACGTGTAATAATCAAAGCTCCAAAATTAATCTCTTTCCCCGCCTCTGGGTCTGTTAGAGTCACATTTCTTCTTCTCTTTCCCTACCTGCCTTTTCTCCTACTCTATTCTCTTCCTGGTGACCCCGCCCCCAACTCTTTTCTTTCCGTACTTGTCTTTTCTCTGACTCTATTCTCTTCCTTTCTCACTTCACTATTCCCCTGCTTACCTCTTCTTTCACTCACTATTGTTGTTTAGTTCCATTCTAACAAGAGTTGGAGGTTAGGAGCTGTGTGGAAGGAGGAGGGATTAGGAGATAGGCCAATTTTTGTATAACTGGGTAGATTCATATTCTCAGCCTAGCTGATGGTTGAACAGACTCACTTTTGGGAACTTTGTGACTCTTGGGAGACTCTCTCTCCTGTCATTTCTATGATCTAGATAGATACATCTCTACATTGGGCTGCCCCTTGGAAGAAACCCTAGGGCATAAATCCTATTGGACAAGATCCAGGATCATGCTGGCTGACTCATGAAGAACACCCATGAGAACCTGTCCCAACAAACTTGTGTAGTAGTGCACACTGATCCTAACTCAACAGCTTCTACTGGCTCACCTACCAAAGCTGTTTCATTACTGCTTTAGCTTTCTCAAAGTTGAGTAATGCACTGTTCTTGGTCTTCTGACCTCAGGAAATGTACAGGGTTGCCTCATTTTATTGCACTCCACTTTATTGCACTTCGCAAATGTTGAGGTTTTTACAAATTGAAGGTCTGTGGCAACTTTATATTGAGCATGTCTATCAGTACCATTTTTCCAACAGCATTTGCTCACTTTGTTTTTCTGTGTCACATTTTGGTAATTCTCACCGTATTTCAACCTTCTCCACTATTATTATATTTGATATGGTCATCTGTGATCTGTTTTCTTTGAGGTTACCATTGTAATTGTTTGGGGTGCCATGAACTGTACCTGTGTAAGATAGTGAACTTAATCTACAAATGCTGTCTGTGTTCTGAATGCTATATTGACTGGCCTTTCCCCTCTCTCCCTTTCCTTGGGCCTCCCTATTCCCTGAGACACAAGAATCTTGAAATTAGTCCAATTAATAGAAATGGCATCTAAGTGTTTAAGTGAAAGGAAGAGTTGCACATCTCTTCCTTTAAATCAAAAGCTAGAAAAGATAAAGCTTAGAGAAGAAGGCACGTTGAAAGATGAGTTAGGGCAAAAGCTAGGCTCCTTGTGCCAGTTGGCTAAGTTGTGAATGGAAAGAAAAAGTTCTTAAATGAAATGAAAAGTGTTACTCTAGTGAACGTATGAACGAGAAACAGCCTTATTGCTGATACAGAGAAAGTTTTAGTGGTTTGGATAGAATATCAAATCAGTCACAGGATCCCTTAAACCAAAGCCTTATCCAGAGCAGACTTAACTCAACTCTCTTCAATTTTACTGAAGGCTAAGAGAGGTGAGGAAACTGCAGGAAAAAGGTATGAAGCTGTCAGAGATTGGTTCATGAGGTTTAAGAAGCCATTTCCATAACATAAAAGTGCAAGGTGAAGCAGCAAGTGCTGATGTAGAAGCTGCAGCAAATTATCCAGGATATCTAGCTAAGATAATTAATAAAGGTGGCTACACTAAACAGATTTTCAGTGCAGATGGAACAACCCTTTATTGGAGGAAGATGTCACCTAGGACTTCCATACTAGAGGAGAAGTTAATGCCTAACTTCAAATCTTCAAAAGGCAGCCTCTTTTGTTAAAGGCCAATGTATAATGTAGCTCTTGACTTTAACTTGAAGCCAGTGCTCACTCACCATTCCAAAAATTCTAGGGGCCTTAAGAATTACACTAAATCTACTCTGCCTGTGCTCTGTAAATAGAACAACAAAGCTTGGGTGGCGGCACAGTTATTTACAATATGGTTTACTGAATAATTTAAGGCCACTGTTGAGACCTACTTCTCAGATAAAATGACTCTTTTCAAAATATTACTGCGTATTGACAGTGTACCTGGTCACTCAAGAGCTCTGATGAAACTATACAATGACAGTAATATTATTTTCATGCTTGCTAACACAGCATCCATTTTGCAGCCCATGGATCAAGGAGTAATTTTAACTTTCAGGTATTATTATTGAAGTATATCTCATAAAGGCTATAGCTATCATAGATGGTGATTCCTCTGAAGGATCTGGGCAAAGGAGGTTGAAAACCTTCTGAAAAGGACTCTCCATTCTAGATGCTATTATGAACATGCATGATTCATGGGAAGAATTCAAAATATCAACAGTAACAGGAGGTTGGACAAAGTTGATTCCAACCCTTATGGATGACTACAGATATGGTGGAAAACAGCAAGGAAACTAGAGTTAGAAGCGGAGCCTGAAGATGTGACTGAATTGCTGCAATCTCATGATAAAATTTTAGTGGACGAGGACTTACATCTTATAGACAAACAAAGAAAGTGGTTTTTTGAGATGAATGTGCTCCTGGTGAAGATGCTGTGAAGACTGTTGAGATGACAACAAAGGATTTAAAATGTGACATAAACTTTGATAAAGCAGCAGCAGGGTTTCAGAGGATTGACTCCAATTTTGGAAGAAGCTCTACTGTGGGTAAAATGCTATCAAAGAGCACTGCATGCTACAGAGAAATTGTTTGTGAAAGGAACAGTCAATTGATGCCTCAAACTTCACTGTTGTCTTAAGAAACTGCCAGAGCCACCTCAACCTTCATCAACCACCACCCTATTCAGTCAGCAGCCATCAAAATCGAGGAAAAACCCTCCACCAGCAAAAACATTATGCCTCGCTGAAATCCCCAATGGTAGTTAGCATTTTTTAGCAATGAAGTATTTTTAAATTTAGTTTGTACTTTTTTTTTAGACAATGCTTTGCACACTTAATATACTGCAATATAGTGTAAACATAACTTTCGCATGCACTGGGAAATCATAAATTTAGTGTCACTTGCTTTATTGTGGTGCTCTGGAACTGAGCCTGTAATAACTCTCATGTATGCCTGTATATCAAAGTTCTAGGTATGGTGCACTTGATTACTGTCCTAAATAGGACACTTGACAGTAAAAGAGGGCACCATCAATACTTATACCAGGAACTCTGGAAAAATAATGTAGAAATTACACCATAATACTGTTTTGTATTTTGCTATTTTACATCACTACACATCATAAACATATTTCCATGTCATCAAATATATTTCCATATAATTTTTGAGGCACTGTAAAATATCTAATTTTATGGATGTACTATACCAATGCATTTTTAATCAACTCACATTTAGGTTATATTGAACTTACTGTTACTAAAAACATTACAGTAGAATAGTTTGTTGACCGAACATGAAATATAAATATTAAAAAGAAAATAAGTCCAAGTCAAAAAATTGTGAAAAACAGATCAATATGCTCAAAAATGTACAAAAAGATAAACAGACCTGACTCTGGTCTAAAAATTACTAAAAATAATGATTTAGAAAATTCATTTTAGGAGAAATGAAGATGGCAGAGGAGTAAATGGAAGTGACACTGACCTTCTCCCAGTACAAGTCTGGAACTAAATTGTGGAGAGATGACCTAGAACAAACAACTGAACAATAGCGAAGAGGAGCCTTATAACCTCGGACAGACAGAAGACTCAGATTTAGCACAACCTAACTGGTAAGAAGTGCGGTAGAGGCTTGAGAAGGCAGGCTGGGCACCCACAGGTGGCAGCATCAGAAAGATATTGAAATGACCAGTTGGATCCCCCCCAGAGAGCGGGGTCTAAAACATGAGTGGGGCTCTCCAGCCTACAGCACCAGAGTCCAAAGTACACAGATAACAGCCAGCTGCAAAAAGCAGCAGAGTTGCTTTCTGCTAGAGACAGGTGTCGGGAGATGCAAAGAGCTGTTTAAAGGGCCAATGCATAAGTTTTTATTTTCAGCCACTCACCCTGGTCTCTGGCAAAGGTGGGGATAGAGTGGGCTAGAGATTCCTGAGGATAGACTGGGGAAGGAGGC